GGTTTAAGTCCCCACCAGGATATATAAACCTGTACACACACACACACACACACACACATACATATATATATATATATATATATATATATATATATATGTGCTTTGTTTAACACTACAGTGATTCTTCACAATTAGTTATTTTTCATGAAATTAAAACACCAAACCCAGTCCATAATGTCTTGTTGTCCATAATGGCCTGGTTTTTAACAGATTTGTTATTTTTAAACATAAAAATGTCTTAATTTTTCAACATATTCAGACTATTTAATAAAATTTTCCTTGCTAAAGCAAAATAAGAAAAGGAATAAGGAATTATTATTTGTATGAATGACTTTTTGTTCATATTAGTTAATAGCACTAGCAACACCAGTGTCATGAGTTCGGTTCCCATAACAGTTAGCTTTTTGGTAAAATATGAAACTTAAACCACAGTGATTCTTCACAATTAGTTATTTTTCATGAAATTAAAACACCAAACCCAAGCCATAAATAATGTCTTAAACCCAGTCCAATTACATCAATTAAAGTTCTTTTGAAGGTATGCCAGTATTCCACAGTAGTATGCAACCTCTCTTCAGGTTAAGAACTGATTCTTATTCAGAACCTGATGAATTATTACCTTTTATAGTGATATTTTATAGCACATTGACTCTGTGATAATGGAGGGAGTTTCGGTGTTGATAACGGCAAGTAGGGATGTAACGATTCACTCAACTCAAGATTTGATTCGATTCACGATTTTGATTTCACGATTCGATTCGATTTTTTTTTTTACAAAATGAGATTTAAGACAAATTATAAATTAAATGTGTCCTTTTATTATTGCTTGGACAAAATGCTGCACATTTCTTTGTCAAATTTAAATATAACACTATAATAATATAGCCCTTGCATATTATTGCTCTTTTGTTGGTTTTGATTGCTTCTATTGTCCTCATTTGTAAGTCGCTTTGGATAAAAGCGTCTGCTAAATGACAAAATTTAAATATAATGTAAATGTAAATAACAAAACTACATTGAAATTTTAAAACAAGCCCCAAATCAAATAAATAACACAAATAAAATATTTTAATCGATTTTCAACCGTCTCGCGGTTAATCGTTACATCCCTAACGGCAAGTAATTATGGACATATTTGACAATTAGTTGTTATTCATTAAATAAAAATACCAAACCAGTCCAGTTACATACATTCTTTTGAAGGTTTGATAGTATTTACAACACAAATTTAATAAGCACAATATAAATGCACAACGTCTCATACACACATTGTACAGTTGTGTACTGTTCTGGTGGTGTTTGTAGTTTTGACAAAAATAATCTCCCATTAATAATCTCTTGTACTACAGTCTACAGATGCTTTGTTCTGCTGAACAAAACAAGACGATTTCCTTTGAGATCATTTCCAGACATTTCAGCTCAGTATTTACAGGGAGAATAAACTTAAGGTTGATAACATTACTGACAACTATTTAGTACATAACTCAGACCGCTCTAGATCTCGGAGCATGGAAGTTGACCTTACAGTACCATCTTTAATTTCACTATATCCACAGTCTGTGAAACTGCTTCATGTGCACAGTCATTTTTTGAACACACACACACACACACACACACACACACACACACACACACACACACACACACAC